CAGACTGAATTTTCTCAAAGGTGTCAGAGGACAAACTTCTCAGACAAACCAAAGATCTGACATGAGAGTCAAAGATCTGATCGACTCTGCCCTCACAAACAAACACGGAGCCTCCGCAGTTTCAGTAAAACACAAACTCTGTTGATCCCGTATGAGCGCGTCACTCCAGACTCTGACGTCAGGAGGTAATTCAGGATTTACCCGAGGTCCCACAACAAAACTGATCCTCTGTGAATAAAGCTGAAGCTGCAGGTTCAGATCATGTGATTCATGGGACGTCTCAGAATTTAACGTTTATTAAGGACGTTAAAATTCTCAGTGTAGCGATCATGACTTTATTCATGATTGTCATGAAGTTGTTTTATTGTTTTAATAAATAACAGAGTAACACTGAGAGTGACAGGGCAGCAGGATTTCAAAATAAAAGTCTGAGAGATTCAAAAAGACGATTAGATCAGGAACCAGTTTAACCACTAAAAAACGTCAATCTGATCAAAGTCATTCGTTCATTCGTTCATTCATTCATTCAGAGTTCAAACCCTGCGGACCACAGTCCCAGGTCTGGACCTGAGCAGATATTGAACCTCTCTGTGGAGAGAGAGAGGATCCAGGATCAGGATCAGGAAAGTTCTGGTTCCAGCAGCAGAAGAATTCAGAGTTTAGTTTTTTGTTAAGCTGACACAGTGCTGCTCCTTTCTTGCTCTTTATGCAGACGACACTCTCCTTAAACATGTAAAAGACTCAGATTTTCAGGAGGACATTAAATGTTTTCAGTGCAGAGAAAAGGAGAGAAAAGGAGAGAAAAGGAGAGAGAGGATCTGCAGAAATGAAAGTTTGAAACTTCGAAACAGTTTTTCCTCAAACTGCTGATCTGGACTCTGTTGCTCTCCTGTTGAGTCAGCCGGGATGACAGCATCAGTTAAAGCCCTGAGCTGCACGGGTGGAGGTAGAGAGAGAGAGGGAGGTAGAGAGAGGGAGAGAGAGGGAGAGGGAGAGAGAGAGAGAGAGAGAGAGAGAGAGAGAGAGAGAGAGAGAGAGAGAGAGAGAGAGAGAGAGAGAGAGAGAGAGAGAGAGAGAGAGAGAGAGGGAGAGAGAGAGAGAGAGAGAGAGAGAGAGAGAGAGAGAGAGAGAGAGAGAGAGAGAGAGAGAGAGAGAGAGAGAGAGAGAGAGAGAGAGAGAGAGAGGGAGAGGGAGAGGGAGAGAGAGGGAGAGGGAGAGAGAGGGAGAGGGAGAGAGAGAGAGAGAGAGAGAGAGAGCCACAGGAAGCAGTGATGGGGCGTTTCCTCCATCTGGAAGCGTTTAGAGTTTCTCAGCTGAGCCTGAATTCCTCCTGAAGACATTCAACAGACCATAATACACCAACACACACACACACACGTGCACATACTTACACACACACTTCCAGCAGTTTGGACTCACTGAAGGTGTGTGTTTGACATTCATCCTGCAGCTTCGTCTTCACACAGTTGTTGTTGTTGTTGACCTCCATGATTGTTTCGTACCCGTGATTCATTCATTCATCGTTGTTAAGCTGCAGAGAGTTTTTTAACGTCAGTCTGAAGCTCCTGAACCTTCAGTCTGGACCAGGATCAGATCTGACTGCAGCTTCAGAACATAGATCAACACGTTGTTTCTCTATGACTCCTTTAGATCAGTGGTCGTCGTCGTGTTGTAGATCTTAAATGTGATAGATGTCTGTGTTTGCATGAATAATAAAGGTGATAGTGTTTGATAGGAATCTGTAACTCTGACCGTCAGCTGCAGTTCAGGTTGGTACGGAGATCGAATTTGAGCAAACGTTTTCAGAGTTGTGTTTCCATCTTTGGAGGTTTTCTGTTTATTTTAGATTTAAAGCTGCAGTCAGTGATGAACTCAGATTTACAGATTTGTTGTTGAGTTTCTGCAGATTTTAACTTTTGTCCGACTCTCCTGGTGTTTAAAGATCGAGAGTTTTCCATCTTTGTTTGTTCAAAATCTAAACAGGTGAAAGATGCAGGTGTCTGCGCTGGTTTATGTCCGGGTTGTAGAGCTTTGAGAGGAAGGCGATGGTCCAGCTCAGAATCAACATCTCACAGAGTTCAGGGTTTATCATGATCTAATGATGGAGGTAGACAGAAGAACGAGAACAGCAGCGTCTGTGGGTGAGGAGAAGGTTGAGGAGGACGGACCCCCAGTGTCGTCTCTGTTGTTGTTCAGCACATGCTCTTTCTCTCTCCTCTGATTGGACGATCTCTTCATGTTCCTGTAGAGTTGAAACAAAGATGTTTAAAGTCACAGACACTCGGGTTCCTCTCCTGTTCTCCTCTCTTGTTTGTATCCTGTCAGATCTGCGTCATTTTCACATGCGGAGAGTCGGAGTCGCTCCTCTGGTCTTTACTCAGGAATGCTGCTCCGGATCAAAGATCGGACGTTAGAAAAGTCCAGATGAGAACGTGGATCTGATGGTTTCAGATAAACCGTGTTAGAGGTCAGAGGAGGGTCTGTGTGGTTGACCTCTGAGTTTGAAGGTCTCTCACTCTCTCTCTCTCTCCTCGTCTTCTTCTTCTTCTTCTTTGTTTGTTAAATGTCGGTGTTCCTCTGACTCACCGCTGGCTCTGACTCCATCTTTAATTCTTTAATCGCTCCGCTTGTCCTCCTCGGCCTCCCTCCAAGAACCCCTCCCTTCTGGTCCTAACAAGTCCACCAGTCTGGTCCAGGCTGGTCCGGCTCCCGGTCCTGATGTGGTAATGAACTCAGTGACCGCCGTTACATCATCAGGGCAGGATGACGCCGGCCCGGTCTGTGAGGACGGCCTTATTCTGACTGACTGTGTCATTAAAGGAGCAGTCCACCGTTTCCCTGCAGCTGTTTTCTGAGCTCTGCTGTAATTTATGAGAGCGTGATTACCCGCCGCCATGTTTCCTCCGTGGACACATTTTTCCAAGATGTAAACACAATAAGTCGTGACACCTCAGAGGAAGTAGTATTGTTAGAGAGAGGGCGTTTCCTCTCCGACAGGAGGTGGAACATGTGAGGTCATCTGTTGACCTGTAATGAGACCAGAGTCCAAACTGTCCCGCCTCGTTTCACAGGAGATCCTGTCCGCTCACAGACTCTGAACACAGAGGAAGAGGAGGTCCTGCTGTAGTTACACACACACACACACACACACACACACACACACACACACACACCTGAGCCTGAGGGTGAAACCTGAACCTGTGAGGACCTCAGAACTCACACCGTCAGACTGTCAGACATCATTTATTCATGAGGAGGCCGAGAATAACACAGCTGAGGGACGCAGCATCTGTAATAATCTAGGTCTACATTTAAAGACAACTAAATAACACAACACTGCTGAAGGATGCAGCATCTATGATGTTCAATATCTTTGTTACAGAACAGCATCTATGTTTTTCTAGTTCTTTGTTATAGGACAGCATCTGTGATATTCTAGTTCTTCAATAAAGGACAGCATCTATGATATTTTCTTTCTATGTTAAAGGACAACATCTATGATATTCTAGTTCTTTGTAAAAGGACAGCATCTATGATATTTTCTTTCTATGTTAAAGGACAACATCTATATTTTCTTTCTATGTTAAAGGACAACATCTATGATATTCTAGTTCTTTGTAAAAGGACAGCATCTATGATGTTTAAGGTCATTGTTAAAGGACAACATCTATGATATTGCATATCTTTATTAAAGGCCAGCATCTATAATATTTTAGTTCTTCGTTAAAGGACAACATCTATGATATTGTGGTTCTTTATTAAAGGACAGCATCTATGTTAATCTACTTCATCATTACAAGACAACTGAATAACACAACACAGCTGATTATGCAGCATCTAGGATTTTCTGGTTCTTCGTTTAAGGACAACTGAACTTAGTTGAGACGTTTTGCTTAAGGCTAAATATCTCCAGTAAGTCCAGTTGTCCTTATAAGGACATCCTGGATCACCACCACCTCATTAGTGTTTGTTAAGGTGATTCTGAGTCGATGCGGTGACTCCTCCTCCAGAGCAGAGTGACAGTTTTTTTCCCTCATCTCTAATCGTCTCAGACTAAATCAGCTGTTTTTTAATGAACGTCTCCCTAATTATTGAGGTTTTTAAATCACTCTGACTGTAATTGTCGACTCTTTTGTGTGTCTGTCAGAGTCGGTGTGTGTGTGAGTGTGTGTGTTGTGTCCACAAACACTCAGGTGTGTGTGTGTGTTTGTCACCCTGCAGCGGTGTTGTGTTTGTGGACAGCAGCGCCTCAGTGTTAAAGGTTGAGGTTGACATCTGATAGGGGAGCTGAACACACACACACACACACACACACACACACACACACACACACACACACACACACACACACACACACACACACACACACACACACTCAGAGTTTGTGCTCCTGTCTTTGTGGAGGATTAGATGTTGTTGTTTTAGAGAGCGATGGTAAACGCAGACGTGTTTACTGAGGGTGTTTCTGCGCTCAGGAGAAATAAGAGAGAGTGTGTTATGAACTCTTATTTTCACAGATCAGTCTAGATTCTGTCTCTAAGAGTCCACGCTTTTGTGTCACCCAGTTTTAGAGGAGCCACACCCACTCAGATCCTTTTACTCACTTTTAAAGACGGGCTGCTGCGGCGGTGACGTCCTCAGAGCGGGTTATTATGATTCTCCTCTGAGGTCCGTTTGTAGAGATGGAGTCAGGCACAAAAACACGGTTTACATTTTAATTTTAGGCTTCAGTTACATCTTTACAACTGCAGACATGTCGGTGAATTCATGATTTAAACTGTGAGTAAATCTTTGAACACACAGCTGTGAACTTTGCTGTTAACCACATCTATATTTACATATTTATTCAGGTAATTAGCCTAAAGAAGCTCCTCTTATTTGTCCCTATCTTGGATATTAAGCCTGGTGTTAAAGCGACCGACTGTTTTCCAGCTTTAAATAAAGTGAAACTGTTTCCTCCTCATTTTTCAGCTCGCCCGTCTTCACCCCGGGCCGTTACGTAACACAAAGACAAACACGCGGTAACTGTCGGTTCATAAAACAAACATCACTATCAGCCTTCAGGGTGAAAGATCTGTGAGCTTTACCAGCAACAAACTGTTATTTTAAAAGAGTTAAAAAGCTTTTAACTGTCTGCTGTCAACTGGGATTATTGAAGCGGTTAATTCACGAGCAGGATGATGGATTTATTCAGGTCTATCAGCTCATATTTATCTCTAAACTCGTAAATTTAACGTCACGCAACGACTCCAAACATCAGCTGATTTTAACTGGACAGATTCAACAGGAAGTTTGTTTGTTTACACTCTGAATTTAATGGTTTTCAGACCCGACAGAGACAGTAATAAAAAAACAACCTCTTTATGCTGATAATCTGATGCAGGAGCCTCATTGGTCAGTAGAGCCGTGAATCATCATGCCACTCCCATTTTTATAACATCTAATAATTAATTCAAACTAAACCTGTCAGGATAATAAACACAAAAACTAGGATGATAAGAGCGAACGATGACGACAAGAATCGTGTTCGTGACGTTTTTATTTGACCTATAAATGAGGTTTAAAGTTTGACCCATGTCCCATCTGTTTACATGGAGGAGGCGGAGCTTATGGCCGTCACTGATGAGGAGATGTGTGTGTGTGTGTGTGTAGGTTACGACTTCGCCGAGGTCCTGCGGTGGTTCGGCGAGCGCGTGGATCGGATCATTCTTCTTTTCGACGCTCACAAACTCGACATCTCTGACGAGTTCTCGGAGGCGATCCGAGCCTTCAAAGGTCAAGACGACAAGATCCGGGTCGTCCTCAACAAGGCGGACCAGGTGAGACCCGATCAGAGCGAACACCTTCATCGGTGTCGGACAGAAACGCTAACACCCTCCTCTTCCTCGTCTGTGCTCTCAGGTGGACACGCAGCAGCTGATGAGGGTGTACGGCGCCCTCATGTGGTCGCTGGGGAAGGTGATCAACACGCCAGAGGTGGTCCGAGTTTACCTGGGATCCTTCTGGGCCAAACCTCTGCAGAACACGGAGAACAGGTCATTCATTCATTCATTCACTTATTCATTCAGTCATTCACTCATTCATTCACTTATTCATCCATTGATTCATTCACTTATTTATTCATTCATTCAAACCTCTGCAGAACACAGAGAACAGGTCATTCACTCATTCATTCATTCATTCACTAACTCATTAATTTATTCATTCATTCATTCAAACCTCTGCAGAACACAGAGAACAGGTCATTCACTCACTCATTCATTCATTCATTCATTCATTCACTTATTCATTCATTCATCCACTCACTCAAACCTCTGCAGAACACAGAGAACAGGTCAGACATTCATTCATTCATTCACTCACTCACTCATTCATTCATTCATTCATTCACTCAAACCTCTGCAGAACACCGAGAACAGGTCAGACATTCATTCATTCATTCATTCACTCACTCATTCATTCATTCATTCACTCAAACCTCTGCAGAACACCGAGAACAGGTCAGACATTCATTCATTCACTCACTCACTCACTCACTCACTCACTCACTCATTCATTCATTCATTCATTCATTCACTCAAACCTCTGCAGAACACCGAGAACAGGTCAGACATTCATTCATTCATTCATTCATTCATTCACTCACTCATTCATTCATTCATTCATTCATTAATTCACTCATTTATTCATTCATTCAAACCTCTGCAGAACACTGAGAACAGGTCATTCATTCATTCATATATTCACTCATTCATTCACTTAAACCTCTGCAGAACATGGAGAACAGGTCATTCAATCATCCATTCATTTATTCATTCACTTATTTATTCAAACCTCTGCAGAACACCGAGAACAGGTCAGACATTCACTGGTTTGTTCATTCATTCATTCAATTACCTAAACCTCTGCAGAACACAGAGTGAACAGGTCAGTCATTTATTCATTCCTTCAATTATTCATTCATTCACTCACTCATCCATTCATTCATTCATTCTCTCAAACCTCTGCAGAACACAATGAATGTGTGTCTATTCATTTAAACACACCCTTTGATTAACATCCATGTAAGAAAAAATTCATATATTCATCAATGTATTTATTCACTCAGTCATCATCACCATCTTTCCTTAAATTCATTCATTTACTCATTTGCAAATCTGCTAAATAATAACCTTTGCATACATAGAGAATAGGTCAGATGGTTTTCCAAACATTCATCCATTCACATGTCTGTGGATTCATTCATTTATCAGTGAGCTCACTTTGATGTAGTAATTCATTAACACAGTCATTCATTCATTTGTTCATTCTGATATTAATGTCTCTGGCTTGTTTGGCCCTCTCTCTTATGTTGTTGTTTTGTCTTTCACTCATTCACTCTCTCACTCTCTCACTCACTCACTCACTCATTCATCCTCAGGCGCCTGTTCGAGGCGGAGTCTCAGGACCTCTTCAGGGACATCCAGAGTCTCCCGAGGAACGCGGCGCTCCGTAAACTCAACGATCTCATTAAGAGAGCGCGGCTCGCCAAGGTGAGACAGGAAATGACACGTTATGTTTGGAGTTAACCACATGACCTCGGGGTGGGGGGCGAAGGTGAAGACGGCTCTTGGAATTCTGGGAAAATCCTGGAATGTTTGGTTGTGTTTCCCTGAGAGAGAAAAGTCCGGAAATTTAAGAGAAACATCTTTAAAGAGTGGAGGTCAACGGAGACTGATCAGCTGCTCTGGTTTCTTTTCAGTCTAAAGCTGTTGAAGGGGCTTTTATTTTGAAGGGCTGAACGCTCCGATCGGTTTCTCTTTTCCCAAGAATCAGAAAGCAGAAGTGAGACTGAGTTAAAGAAGAAAACCCCTGACTCAGACCTTTTTTTAGACCTGAGCGGAGCCTGAAGGACGGAGACTTCCTGTGAGGTTTTAGAAAATAAATCCACACTTTGAAGTTTTTCTCTGTTTTAGTTTTTTTTCTCAGTTTGGTGTTTGAAGTTCAGGAAGCCGACCTGAATGTTTCTGTTTGTTCCTGAAAAGAACGACTTCCTGTTTCCTGGTTGTTTCCACTTTAACTCGTTAAAACCCGATATTAGTCAGTAAAGATTTAACCCTGATCTGTTAACTCACTCTCTCTCTCTCTCTCTCTCACACACCTTAGCATTGGGGATTACCCAGCATTCCCAGCTGTATGACCCCGGCCGACCTCTGCCCCTCTTAACTCTCGCCTCCTGACTTTAATCCTGAAAACTCAGAGTGTTCTTAGCCTGAAGTTTTCAGTTTATTCATCACTTTAATAGATTTAATGAGAGTTTAGTCTGTGCAGAATTTAAAGGACTATGAGCCATAAGTTATTTACATGAAGTACATGATATAAATATTAAAAAGAAAACGAATTATGAGGTTAGTCCGATTAAACTGTGACTGTAAATATACTGAGTGTGTGTGTGCAGAAACAGAAAACAGCTCTTTAGTCTAAAATCTGTTTTTTGTTCCAGGATAGAAAGATTGAATTGGTGTGTATGTGGTTTTAGTGTGTTTGGAGTCAGCCTCTAGTGGACACTGGAGGAACTGCAGTTTTTAACCAGCTTCATTTTTGAACTGACTGACTCTGTGACATCAGTGTGGTCAGAGCAGCTGGAGTAAAAACTCTCTGGAAAACTGAAAATCCTTTTTTACTGTTTCTGCTTCGAGTTTAAATTTCTATCTTTACCTCTCTCTCTCTCTCTCTCTCTCTCTCTCTCTCTCTCCCTCTCTCTCTCCCTCTCTCTCTCTCTCTGCAGCTCTTCTCCTCTTTCTCTCTCCCCTCATAACTTCAGATTTTTAAGCTGCTGTAGAAAATCTCTCTCTCTCTCTCTCTCTCTCTGTCTCTCTCTCTCTCTGGTTTTAAGGATGGACGTTCCTGCAGTCACGTAGAGGTCAAAGTTCATCTGTTTATTATTAATAATTATTAATATTGATGGTTTCTGTAAGTTAAAGCTCTGCTGGGTAACTTTTATCATCCTCTCATCTGTTCCACAGTGTTGTTCTTCCTCCTCCTCCTCCTCCTCCTCTCTCATGATTAATGACTCTAATGGACTTGGACAGACACTGACCTCACCCCTTCATCCTCCCTTCTTTCCTCCCTTCCTCTCTGTCACCTCCCATAATGCTTTGGGCCTGTATGAAGGATTGACAGGCCTCTGCCCTCCTCCTCCTCCTCCTCTTCTTCATCCCTTCACAGAGGTGTAGTTCATCTCCTGACCCGGCGCCGGTCAGTCTCCTGTGTCCCCCTTTCAGCTCCTCCAGACTTTGATTTATCTTTTAATTTCAGCGAAAGACGAACGATCAATCATCAGTTTTCTTTAAGTTTCTAAAATCCAAACCTAAAGGGATATTCCGGCATAGAATTAATTTAGGGTCAAACCCACCGTAACCCCGAGTTAGACCCCCCCTCCAGAGATGAATGTTGTCGACCGCTTGCTTCTCTAGTTATACCAACTTTAGTAACGACCGCAGGATAGAAATACAGAGAGGTCTGAGGAGCCATAAACAAACCTCAACCAAAACGCCACTCTATAGCCACAAATAATGCTCAGAACAGCACCTAACTTCATCAACAGGACATATAGGGTCACAGACATAGGCGTTTCTCCACCTCTGTAGTCTATAAGCTGGGCCAATAAACTTCTACTGTAGTAAAATGAAAAGGTAAAGGTGTTTTTATTGAGCCGAATTATCAATAAAATCATGATTTTGTTAACAGGTATAGATTTATGTGCTGTCGAGTTAATATATTTGAACAAGAGCACAGTAAAGTTAAATCAGCTAATTTTCCAATGAGGTTCTGTTACTGAACGGAACTACACCATGTTCTACTGAGGTTAGTACATATAAGGTCACAGACATAGTACTAGACACCAAACATCTTTTTAACTTTGACTCATTTCTTTAGCAAAGAGACTAAACACAACTCACCTACTCTCTTCCAGCAGACGCTTGTTTGTAGAGAGACCTCAGGCCAGTCCATTACAGAC